TCCGAAGCCAGGAGCCTCTTCCTGGTCTCCCACGCGGGTGCAGGGTCCCAAAGCTTCGGGCCATCCTGGACTGCTTTCCCGGGCCACAGGCAGGGAGCTGGATGGGAAGCGAGGCCACTGGGATTAGAACCAGCACCCATATGGGATCCCGGGCGTGCAAGGCAAGGACCTTAACCACTGCGCCATCGCAACGGGCCCTAAGTCAATCTACTTTTAAGTTATCTAACAAAGGTACATCAAAATTACTTTTAGAACTGGCATTGTAGCTAAGTGGCCTAAGCATGCTACTGCAATGATGGATCCCTATCAGAATGCCAGACTGGGCCCTGGCTGCTCCACTTCCAATCGTGCTCCCCACTGAAGAGCCTTGGAAAGCAGCAGAAAGTGGTCCAAATACCTGAGCACATGAAACCCATGCAGAAGACCCAAATGGAGATCCTGGCCCCTTGCTTCAGCCTGGGCCAGTTTTAAACACCTCGTCATCTGGAGAGTGAACCAATGGCAGGAAGCACTTCATCTCTGTCTCTTTCTCCCACCTTTCTCCCTTTCCCTTCTTTCCCCAACCCTGCCTTACATGTACCTTTAAAAAAAATTACTGTTAAGTATACCATATATCCTTTCCTAATATAAAGCAATTGTAAGATTTAGGATCCATCTAAACCACTTCTAATACCAAAGCCAAATACCATCTTCTACTTTTCAAGTCTTCCTAAGGGCTAAATGTTTTGTAATGGATTCTCACCTTCACTTAGAAAATGTCATCAAGTATACTTGGAAAATGGTCCAAAGGCGACGTTAAAGTGCGAGAACTGACCCTGCCTTCGCACCTCCCTACTGGGCTTCTGAGGAAGGTATGAGAACATGAAGAGCAAGATATGCAATCATATAGCACATCCTTTATTCAAGAATACCTACAAGATGGATTCACAAAGGTCACACCTGCCCCCGAGGGTATCCGTCACCCAAGGAAAGCAGAGTTCTACAAGAAAGTGATTTTCTCTAACATGGATACAACGCTAGCCCATGTTAAAAGCAAAAGCAAAGAAACAAACAAAAAGCCAAAGCGAAACAAACAGCATCTAGCAGACAGGTAACCTGTGCAACAGCACGTCAATCAAACAGCAAGACACACTTGACAACAGAACCTTGCCTGCCCTGCTCCGCCCTCCCTGGCAATGCGCTTGTGGGATAATCTGGGATTGACTTTTGCCCTCTCAGAGAAAGCAACAATCATCTCCTGGAAGTAATTATTACTGTCTTCAGACCCCACCCACCTTTCACCATAAATTCTGGCTTTACCTGGCGATTTACAACCAGAGCCGCTCAACCCCCAAGAAGGGAGGGGGCGGTTTTTCACACCGTTGGATCACTGAAAACTCAAGCTAGCATGCCCTTCTGCCTTTCTCCTCAGGTGTTTTGCTCCATGGCATATTTCAAATCTATTCAGAGCGAAATCTTGTTAACCTTGCATGGAGGCCGCTCTCCCCAGCTGGAGCATTCAGTGGGCCGGGCCGCACACTGCACAGCTCAGTGGTGAGCCGCTGCCCCCACAATGTGCCTGCGTTCCGAGTTAGGTCCTTAAGTCTCCACTTGGCTATTAAAACACTAGATCCCCCTATGATACTGTGCTGTAGGCAGAATTGCACCTTACTTACCCGAAGCTTAGTAAATACTAAAACAGGGCCAATGTAGTTCAACATTTTATCCAAAAAATTGCTTCTTAAAACTTAAATTTGAACAGTTATAAACTGTCAGATATAGCACTACACACTTCCACGGAGGATCTCTTTCAGCATTCCTAACATCCATGTAAGGTGCCATCATTCCCATTTCGCAGGTGAGAAAACTAATGCCCAGGGAATTTAGAAACTTCTCCAAGGTCACCCAACTACTGTGGTCATGGAACCACACATCTGAACCAAGTGCAAGACGCGAAAGCCAACCTTTAACAATCACTCTACCACATGCTACACTGCTGGGCATGCATGTGAAGAACCCTACTGCGGGTAACGGAAGCACTCCAAAGTTAAACCATTGCACAGCATTTTAAATGTTCTACAACTACATTTTTGTAAGCATTAGGTAAGTCTGATGTCCAAGAAATCTATGGTATTAAGGGATCTCCCTTATGCCCATGGCTCTCCATGCGTGTATGTGCTTAAGTGGGTAAATGTTTGACACAGCAAGTAAGACCCTGCTTCAGAAGCCCCAGACTCCGTATCAGAGCATCTGGGCTCACGTCCCAGCTCTGCTAACGCACACCATGACAGGTGCCACTTGACTGCTCACACACATGACTCTGCCACTTGTGCAGGTGACCTAAATCAAGTTCCAGGCCCCTGTCTTTGGCCTAGCATATTAAGGGAATTTAGGATACTTCTTTTTTTTTTTTTTAAGATTTATTTATTTATTGGAAAGTCAGACATACAGAGAGGAGGAGAGACAGAGAAGAAGATCTACCGTCCGATGATTCACTCCCCAAGTGAGCGCAAGGACGATGCTATGCCGATCCAAAGCCAGGATCCAGGAACTTCTTCCAGGTCTCCCACACGAGTGCAGAGTCCCAAAGCTTTGGCCGTCCTCGACTGCTTTCACAGGCCACAAGCAGGGAGCTAGATGGGAAGCGGGGCCGGCGGGATTAGAACTGGCGCCCATATGGGATCCCGGGGCGTTCAAGGAAAGGACTTTAGCCACTAGGCCATGGCGCCGGGCCCCTAGGATACTTCTTTTTTCACTTCTCTTCCTTCCCTTCCCTTCCCCCTTTCCTCTCCCGTCCTCCCTTTCTCCATTTCAAATAAACAAGAGAATAATTTTGTTCCCAATTTTTTAAAGTTTAAACTTAGGAAAACTTTGGGGAGCCTGAAGTGCTAAAAATGTACAAAGGAGAGCCAGTTATCAATACATTGGAACCACTCACATTTATTGTTTTACCCAGCTGCTGAGCCGTACACACTGTTGCCCTGTAGAGTCTCCTGCACAGAAAAATAGCTGCGACTGGCATAGACACTCAAAGGCAGCAGACGAGGGACACACTTGGGGTAAAGCAGTGCTCCCAGAGGTAAGTCACGGAGGATCGACCCTTTCTGCAGGTGCAGACTACAGTCACTTCGAACACTTCTTTGCCATCTGAGAGAAACCAGGCAAAGCTCACTTGGGCCATCTGAGAGTCCAGAGGGTAGCTTCACAGGTTTTCCTCCTCTCCTGAGTTTCTGGGGGCTACCATGACTCAGTTCCAGCAGCATTCAACCATTACACCCTAGGCGCCCATCTACAAACTGTCAGGTGGCTCTCACAATGCCAACGCTTATGCACAGGTTTCTCACACAAGTCTCTTGTCCAGAGCATCTACAAGACTGAAAAAAAGCATGGGGGGTAGGGGTGATGGCTCAGTTGGCTGATCCTCTACCTTACAGCACGTTGGCATCCCATCTGGGTGCAGATTCGGGTCCCAGCTACCTCACTTTCGATCAAGCTCCTTGTTTATGGCCTAGAAAAATAGAGGAGGATGGCACAAGGCCTGTGGTCATGCACCTAAATGAGATACCCAGAAGAAGCTCCTGACTCCTGGCTTTGGATCAGCTCAGCTCAGACCATAGCAGACATTTGGAGAGTAAATCTGTAGCTGAAAGATCTCACTTTTGTTTTTTTTCTTTTTTAAAAAAATATTTTGTTGGACCCAACACAATTATAAAAAATACTTTACTTTTTATTGGACAGGCAGATCTGCAGAGAGGAGATACAAAGAAAGATTTCCCATTCTCTTGCTCACTCCCCAAGTGGCCAAAAGGGCTAATACTGAGTTGATCTGAAGTCAGAAGCCAGGAGCCAGGAGCCTCTTCCATGTCTCCCACTTGGGTGCAGGGTCCCAAGGCTTTGGGCCGTCCTCTAATGCTTTTCCAGGCCACAGGCAGAGAGCAGGATGAGAACAGGAACAGCCAGGATAGACCAGTATCTAGATGGGATCCTGGCAACTGCAAGGCCACTGAGCCACTGTGCTGGACTTGTTTTTTTTTTTCTTTTTGTTTGTTTATTTTGTTTTGTTTATTTATTTTGTTTGGGAGGTGAGAGGGGAAACAGATTTACAGAGAAGACAGACAGAGAGAATGATCTGCCACCCACGAATCACTCCCCAACAGGCCGCAACAGCCAGATCTAAACTGATCTGAAACCAGGAGCTCCCTCGAGGTCTCACACGCAGGTGCAGGGTCCCAAGCACTTGGGCCATTCTCCACTGCCTTCCCAGGCCATACCATAAGCATGATGTTTATGGAAGTGGATCAGCTGGGATACAAACCGGTGCCCACATGGGATCCCAGTGCTTGCAAGATGAGGATTTAGCTATTGAGCCATTGTGCCAGGCACTCTGTGTCATAGCCTCTCTATAAATCTGTCTTTCCAATTAAATAGATAGAAAGAAAAAAGCAGAAATTTCTTTACACAAACTACACAGCCATGAAGTCTCTTCTCAGGATTGACAGTATGCCCAGCTAAGTGTCAGCTTGGGTTGCAGAATGTCCATGGGCATGTCCCAAACAAGATGCTGAAGAAGAGGGGGCCACGAGGCAGCCACAGTGAAGCCCAGCCCCTGCCTGGCAAACCCACAAAATGCCGCAGCGGGCACACCCACTTCCAGTGGTTTTCTCTTCCAGGAAAATTTAGCAACAAACCAACAAAAAAGCAGCTCCTGCCATGCCACTTAAGGATGCTGTCTCCTCGAAACTCAGGTGGAACATCAAAACACCAACTACAGGCGTGACTGCTCTGAAGAGAGGAAACCCATCCTGGGGAGGAGTGGTTTCCATGCCCCCAAGTCCTCCTCCCAGCAGGGAACCGAGAGGACCCTCCACCCCAGCAAGCTCCAGGAAGTATCTGCACTTCTCCATCCACTGCACAATCACAGGACCCTCATGAGTCCAGGGCTGAGACTGAAGAACGAGACAGGTACAAGAAACCAGAGCGACAATTCATCCGTGTCATTCTTCCTCATGGATCTCTCTTACCTCCCGCAACTCCAGCCTCTGGGCCACAGCCTCCAGGCACTCCTGCCCCGTACTTTCCACTGACAGCGTGCACTCGATCACATTGCTGTCCAGCAGGCGGATCCGGGTGACGAAGCAGTTCTTGCTCAGGACGTTGTAGCGCCGAGTCCGGCGGAGCTTCAGGCCGAAAGGCATGGTGATGTGGCCCTTGGATGCTGCCTTTCTATCCTGGCCCACGTGCCCCTGGGCTGACCTTAGTAGGTTTGTGGCAGAGTGGTCGCACTATCACCTCTGCTCCTCCAGGTATGGGATAAGGCGTCCATGCCCAGCGTGGCCCTCCGGAAGATGGCTGCAAATGGAAAAGAGCACAGTTAAGGGCTGGAAGGGAAGTTAGTGACAGCATGATACACATCCTGTAGACACACAGGCTCAGCCCCCTGACAGGTGAGTGGTCAAATTCAAGCACCTGCAAGCCTGAGAAGTCCATGCATTTCATCACATAAGAATAAAATGGAAAAAGCCAGCTTACACTTAAAGAAATGGAGCCTCAGAAAGATTCGATAACTTATCACCGGATGCACGATATAAACAGAAAGACGGAATGCAAACCTAGGTCCATGCGACTTCAAGTCACGTACGTTATGAGGGTACTTTTTAAAAGTTCACTGAACTAGAACTAAAGCACATGTCTGTTGTGTTGAAAAGCATTTTGCAGCTCACATTTTTTTTTCATAATACAATTTCCCATGAACTTTTGAAGTCCCTGAAGATACGTAGATTTACAAGTTTTTAAAGATTTATTTACTGGAGTCAGAACAACGGCTTAACTGACTAATCCTCCAGCTCGAAGCACAGCATCCCATACTGGTGCTGGTTCTTGTTCTAGCTGGCCCACTTTCCCATGGCCTGGGAAAAGCAGCAGAGGATGATCCAAAGCCTTGGGACCCTGCACCCATGTGAGAGACCCAGAGAAGCTCCTATCTTCAGATCAGCTGAGCTCCAACCATTGCAGCCATCCAGGAGTGAATCAGCAGGTGGAAGATCTTTCTTTCTCTCCTTCTTTCAATAAACCTACCTTTCCAATGAAAATAAATAAGTCTTACCCCCAAAAAAGTTCATAGCATAATAAAAAGATTTACTTATTGACTTATCTGAAAATCAGAGTTACAGAATGATTGGGAGGAGGGGGCTCAACGTGCGGAGGGAGAGAAAGCTCTCATGTGCCGGACTGCTTCCCTCAAGGTCACAACAGCCAATGCCATACCAGGCTGGAACCAGGAGCCAGGCATACCATCCTGTTCTTCCAGGTGAGTGGCACGGCCCAAATGCTTGGCCCATCTTCCGTAACTTTCCCCAGGCCATCAGCAGGGAGAAGGATTGGGAGTGGAGCAGCTGGGACAAGAACTGGTGCCCCTTTGGGATGCCGCCATCAAAGGCTTTATTCACTTTGCCATAATACAAGCCCCCAATTGTTTTGCACCAAAATAAACTATTTTTAAATTTCATTTTCCAGGAACTTTTCAAAGTACCATTTTACCGTATGCTCAAAACGTGCTAGCAGAACTCAGCATGAAAGTGTATATTCTTTCATTTCAATCCCATGAACAATGCTGTAGCATAGACTGTCCTGTTACTTCTTCTACCAGTGAAAAAAGCGAGGTTCTGTGAATCCCAGTGCCTCTCTTGTTGCTCCTCGCGTTCTGCAACACTACCTCTTTTTACTTCTCTTCCTATCATTAGCCTTCGTTTCTAGCTTGCTTTTATCTTAATATTTATTTACAGTGAATGACAATAAATGGTAGGAATGTATATGGAATACAGTCAGTTATTTTCCATTTTTATAAAATAAAACAAAATCTGGTACTGCACTGAAAACCGCAACTCTTTTTTCTAATACACATTTAGACAATCAGATGTAGGAAACCACCCTACCATGCTCTTTTATAAGATGCCTTGTGTAAAATTACAGATCATGTGACTTAGCAGCAGCAGACTTTCAAGCACCCTTATGTTCCACCAAAGGAAGATGATGACATTACTGCCACGGAGAACGCAAGAGAAAAACAACACACGTAGCTTTACCAGTCCGTCCCGAGCCAGCAATGCTCCTGCTGGGAGTTCACAAGACTCACCTTGCACAGAAGCCAACAACATTCCCAAAACTCGTCCATCCAAAACTTCATTCTCCATCAGGCCCAAAGGACCATCTCTTGCTCATCTGCTTGCTTTCTAGCCTGTGTCCCTAACTCTGGCAGATCCACACAGGCATTCTCACTCTCATCCCTCTGCCCATTATTATTATCCTTTAGTTTTCTAGCACTTGGAGGGCAAACGGGAGTAACTGTGACCTGTAGGAATTTTAAAATTAATAAACAGAAGGGCTTCAATATTTATAAGCCACTCCCTGGTGTACGCTAGGCCTCATGGTGGTTGTCAGGGCATAACCGTACAACACAGCAAAACACACACCCCAGACTCTCACAGCAGGCCTTTAATACTTGCCCTGGGCACATTCCTTAACATGACAGGTATGTGTTTTATGATGGCTTAAAATACATATGCTAGAAAGTTGGGTTTGCTAAAATATCTTAACATTTCTAAATCACTATGTTGGCAGAGTATCATGTTTACCTCCAAGGGATGCCAACCTGATCTCTTGATATGTACAAAAACTTGGAGGGATACACCCCAAATAAAGCTGCAGCAGCACCACTGGGAACCCAAAATTCAAACACACAACCTTCAGTGTTTACACTCCCAAATATCCCTCAACTTACAGAAGCACAGCGCAGAAGGGATCAAGATTCACACCCAACACGAGCCAGAGAATCCTAAACAGAAAAGTATTTGCTCTATGGGCACAAGCCATATTTCTAATCCTGGGCCAGGCACTTGACATTTGGGTGTGTCTCACCTTAAACACCTGAAAGAATGTGGCTGGCTTGGTGCATGCTCATCACAGCACAAACAACTTCCACTGCCTGTTCCACGGGGAACTATTCACAATGCACAGCCAGTGAAATAACAAGCCAACTGCACAATGCACACAGATTCCACAGCAAATAAAAACACAGAAACAAAAAAGGTCAGCTATAGTATGATCTCAGGGCTACTGAGTAATCCTAATTGGTACACTTGATGTGGTTTTATACTGTTTTTGCATTCCACAACAGTCTGATGTTATTTTTTGCAAATAAATGTAAAGTTCTGTTGTTCCTCGGCCTCCTCCAGGGATTGATTCTAGGATCCCACACATGTACCAATAAGCACATATACAAGTCCAGGCTCAAAGCAAATAGGATAAAATCTCACCAGCATTTCAGTTGAGAAAGTAGAGATACACATAGTCACAGTACTATGCTTTTAGCTTTCCTGTATGCCTCAAAAGTTTTAAGACAGGCAGGCATTTTGGGGTGACAGGCTAAGTCATCACTTGGAATGACAGTGTCCCGTACCACAGTACCTGGGATAGAGACATGGTTCCATTTCCAATCCAGCTCCCTGCTAATGTGCCTGGAAAGCAGCAGATACTTGGGCTTAGCTATCAAATGAGAGACCTAGATGGAATTCCTTGTTCCTGCTTTAGCCTGGCCCAGCCTTGTTAGCTGCAAGCATTTGTGCAGGGAAGAACCAATGGACAAAAGAGCTTGTTCACTTCCTCTCTCTCCCACCTGACACCCACACGACTCTCCCACTCTCACATTTGGTCAGTCAGTGAAGAAGTACACAGAAACCCCACCCCCACCCCACAAATATCAGTCACTCTTTCAAATAAATAATTAAAAATTCATAAATGATACTAGTTTAATAATTTTAAAATGTTAAAAAAGAGGGCAACCTTCACCACAGGCACTCAACAAGCTCACATCTACTCCTTAAGACTCAGTTTCAACATGTCTCCCTCTTCTCTGGGCTGTCTTGAATCTTTCCCACCAAAAGGAATCTCTATTTTATTTGAACACCCACAATCACCAGTGCTTATTTTAATGTACCAATCTGTTTAAAATATTAGTACACTTGGGCTCTGAACCCCTCTAGAGGTACAAAGATGTATCTTCTACATCTAACACACACACACTAACTAAACTAAAATCACATGACATTTATATCAGTGCCTGCACAGTCACAGAGTGTGGTATCTGAAAAAAAACTATCAGGTACTCCTTTAAGACTTCTCTACCCTTCAAAAAGTACTATACCGAAATTATCCCAGGCAAAGAATCTGTTTGATTTGAACCTGTAATGATAGGGTTAGAGAAGATCTCTTGTCTCTCTCAGTTTTATGATTTTAATAGTCTATAAAGTACCCACCATTGTTAAGTTCTTAAGGAATCCATACTTATGTGTCACAATTCCACCTTTTAAATATCCACCCAGACACACAGTTCTATCTCAGACACAGCCTCTGGTAGATGTTAAGGGCAAATCCTATATTTCAATAGCAATATCAAGTTGTAACAGATCTATTCAAGGAAGTTGAAGGTTTTTTTTTTTTTAAAGCTGGTTGATAAAAATAACAATGCTAACTCATGACTTGTTTTTCAAGACAAACAGTAGCATATTCTAATTTCAAAACAATCCAATCATCTTTTGTCCTGGGTGCATCCTTGAAAGACAGTGGCATTAGATAAAGGAGTTAGGCTCTAACCCTTTAGTAAGCCAAGTGAATGGGAAAACAAGGCCATGGGACCCTGCCACAGACTCTGAACTGGCTTCTGGGCCTCCGTCATAACAAAGCCCTCAGATATGGAAAGCTGAAACCTGGACAGAGGAAAAATGCTGTCTGGAGCGGAGTGGAGAACCTTTTAGAAGGTTCTGTCCAGAAAGACAAAAGATAGAAGCTTACTGCGAGGGACGGGAATAGGCACACACCTGCAGGCATGAGTTGGCCATTACCAGTGGACTGGCTTCAATAACAACTACTGACCCCTCCAGAAGGCCACTTTGGAAATCAATGTGGACACATTTTTCACATTCCTCTCCCAGAACCCTCACAAGGTATGCAAAGGGCTGCTAGGCAGGTGTGTTAGTTACTGAGTACCCTACCAGCTGGTATGGGAAAAAAGTGTTTTTCAAGAGAAAAGAAAGAAAAGCAAAGAATATCAAGTTTGATATAAAGCTGAGACTATCCCCTGGGCAAATGGATCAAGCCACACATGCCTCCCTACACTCTGACACTTGAAGCAAAAACAGAGACAGCAGATTAAATGTCCCTTCCTGAGTGGCATAGGAGACTCCAGCAGTCCTTTTGGTCTAGCCAATGACAACGTGCATAACATCTAGTCTCACCAATTGTCCCTTTGATCTAAGGGCAAACTGACCCCAATGTGGTCTCAGAATTCCCATGGC